AGCAGAATAATCGGGTCTAGACCAGACAGCATGGGCATCGATCTACTCAACTGAGATACAATGACATGTGTCACCGAAGTCAGCGAGCTTGACCATCCAATCCCATTAGTCACCTCTTACAACAAGCATGGGCAAAATGACACATTAATGTTCGCATGGATGGGACGCTTATAGTCTGTTTACACAGTGGGCAACGAACACTGACTAGTGCACATTGTCTCTGAGCAGTTTAACAGGGAAGTAATTACATCACCTATACTTCAGTCCATATCTGGTATTTAGGAGCACCACATTCTAGCTGTGTAATAGACTGCTCATAGGTCAACAAGTACATCTCCGTCTCTAACTATCTGTCCATCTGTCTGAGTGAGTGAGTTTTACAGCACTTTTAGCAATATTCCAGCAACATCTGATAAATATGACTCGTGGTAATAAAACACCCTGGCGAAGTTGCCAGGACATGTACTTTATACCTCCCGCTTGAGTGAACACCAACACAACCACGCCGGCCGGCACATGGTTCCTCACTGACCACACTGACGCACCTTGCGCATGCGCATGCCTCTCATGCAAAGCTACTCTCCTTTTCTCCTATACTCCAGCCACCCATACGTACACATACGTTAACAACATCATGGCATTACTTCTCACGACCACTTGCTTGACAACATAAGAATCTATGTTGAAACTTTGTCTACACAGAATAAAGAAGTTGTATATCAATAAAAATAGTCCTCATTCTTCATCTACCTAACTTCTAGAAGACCAATCAAAGAAGAAATGCCAATCAAAGAAAACATAATGGCAGTTAACTGTCTGAACTCTGTCCCCACCTCGGTGACCTCCCAAAAGTTAGACGTCCCAAAAGTTACACGCGTTAAAACAACAAAGGTTATGGTTGGTTTCACTGAGGTTCACTACACTGTTACCTTCGTTAATTAAATGACTGACTTTTGGGACGCCTGACTTTTGGGATGTCTAACTTTTGGGAGTAAACCCCCACCTCTAGTACAGTTGAGGGTCCTGATCCACAAAGCATTCAGTAACAGTAACCTATCATAACTCTATAGTTTATTATAGGCTTATGAATGACAGTGCTACGAACACTTTGTTGATCGGGACCCTGCTGATTTCTGAAAGACTGTATCTCTAACAGTACATCTCTATATGTCTGTCGGTATGAAAATTTGTTTTAAACATGTGTTTTTATTTGAATTAGGGTGTTATTTATCAAAAGGCAGGGATGCAAAATGGAAGATATCCAAGCCAGGCAAGATAACAGATGACACGCTTACATATTCAATTTGACAGAAATGTTGTCACTATTCACTATCGTGATAAATTAACAGTGTCAACATGGTCAAAACATGTCAAATAATATATATTGTTTTTTCTCATTGTTTCACTGAATATAATGAATATACATAGTTGACTTGCTATTGTATTGCTTACCCAATAATCATATTGCTTAGGGGCGGTGTGGTTAGCCTAGTGGTTAAAGCGTTCACTCGTCATGCCAAAGACCCTGGTTTGATTCCCCATATGAGTACAATGTCTGAAGCCCATTTCTGGATAACAAATAAAATGTTGCCTGAATATTGCTAAAAGCGGTGTAAACCCAAACTCACTCACTCGCTCACTCGTATTCCTTACCCAATGTTGATGATACAGTACAACCAGAAATTATTGAGAATTTAAGATAGTAAATTGTTTTATTTTATTTTTTCACTCATTACGCACGTATTAAATGTGAATATTAACAGAACATAACTCCAGATTCAAAGACAGCTGAACAGTTAGTATTTTGTCAAGTCACCATGGGCAGCAATGCAGGCTTCAATGCAGCGGGGCATACTAGTGATCAAAGAAGTTAGAAAGTCGTGGTCCATGCTGTCCCAAAATCGGACCACCTCTTCTTTCATTTCAGCAATATTTGTCAGATTTTTCTTATTGACACTTTCCTTCATAAGTCCCCAAATATTTTCTATTGGATTTAGGTCAAGGCCCATGCTTAGCCAATCTAATAATGTCCGAATTTTTGGTCCGAAACCAGGCCTGCAAATGCTTTGACCGATGTTTTTGGTCACTGTCCTGCACAGAAATGCCACCCCACACGTTAAATTTCGGACTGCAAATAGACTCCTTCGTTTGTTTTTAGAATCAAGAATACCAAGCCGCCTCCTGTCACCGACAGTCAATTTTCTGGGCCTACCTGGGCCTACCTAGGCTTCCCTGGTGCTCAGTGCTATATCCATTTGCAATATTTTTCAGAACACAATAAACAGTGGACAAAGGGATGCTTGTTCTACTTGAAACCACTTTAGCTGATCAGATGTCCTTGTTATAATACTCTAAAATCAACTTCCCTTTCTCTAAATCATCCATACTGAGGATCACTGAAAATGTCGTCTGCTAGCAAGCAAACAAAAAGGAACCTGTCAGAGCTTTAACAGGAAGTGTTATTACATTACAATAAACCTTTCACCAACATTTTACCCACATCAAACAAAAACATTTTAGACATGTTGAACCTATTGACACTAGGGCTGGATATTGCCCTGATTTTCATTTTGCCATATATTGCAATAATTTAAGAGATATTGCTTTCCCTTTTTGTGATATATTGACTGGAAGGTTTCTGCCCAAGTGCGTACATCATAAATTCATAATAGCTCTCTATTGATGTGCGACATCATCTTCTTAGTCGCTGTTACATCATACTTTCAGGCTCACCTTCCACATTGTGTATGGCTGTGTGACAATCGTTTACAGATAAATAAAATGATATTGAGCCTTAATGTGGAATGTTTAATTGAAGCATTGCAACAAAGTTTTGCGAACATAATGATAAAAACAATAGTATAACATGATTTTCATGGTCAGTGTTTGTTTGCTTCAACAGAATGCACTTCAATGCAGTATGTAATTATTGTTACTGTATGTCAGTGATTCATTCAGATTCAACTCCCAATATAAACATGTGTTAACATGAACTATTGCAAAATGAAACAAATCATGATTTAGTTTAACTACTTGAGCTTAATATCAACTAAGATCCTTGACTAGAATGTCATTATATAGTCCTACAAAATTTATGAGTCAAAGAACCTTTATGCTAAATTGATATCATATGTCCCGTTATGAAACAAACAAAAATAACCAAATACTGGGAATTGTGAAATGGTCACTCAGAGCCAGAGGCTCTACTAATAAGTCCAAATAAACAAATGGTCCATTTGAGGCCACTTAATTCCTCAAAATGAAACCATTCAAACCCACAAAACGTAAAGCATTTGGTAGAACATATGGCACTTTTGGAGCCACTTATAATGTCATTTCCACTTGTAAAATGTTACGTGAAACCAACAGAAATAAAAACATATTTGGCACTTTTAGAGCATATTTTTTTACATGGAAATCAAGGGGAGATCATTCAAAGGGAGCTAACTCTGGATGACCCAATATATTGCAGAATCTGAAGCATATAGCGATAATCGTATCACGAGACACTGTACCGGTGTATACTGGTATACCGGTAATATTGCACAGCTCTAGTTGACACAGTACATATGAGACATTTCTTCCGCCAAAATCATATATGTTCAGAGACTTAGAGGGTTAGTCTGTAATCACCCAGTATCAGCCAAAACATTTACATGAGTGTCGTCGTATTTTTATTATTACTAGCTGTGGGTATAACTGCTGATCATCCAAAAAGTCTTATTATTATCAACATCTGAACTACCGGTGCCATTTTATTCTACTGAAAACAAAATAATTCATGAGGTAAAGACTGAGTTCTGAAGATTTTACGGCAAGGGCACAGAAACAGATGTCAGCCAATACCCCAAACCAACATTCTTTGAGTGAGTGAGTTTAATTTTACGCCACACTCAGCAATATTCCAGCTATGTGGCGACGGTCTGTAAATAATCGAGTCTGAACCAGACAAATCAGTGATCAACAGCATGAGCATCGATCTGCGTAATTGTGAACTGATAACATGTGTCAACCAAGTCAGCAAGCCTGAACACCCAATCCCGTTAGTCGCCAGTCTTAGTCTTGGGTTACTGAAGATCAATTCATGGGTCTTCATGGGTTAACATTCTTTGAACCTGCTTTGTAAACTATACCAGTTCCAAACCAACATTCATTAATGTTTTTAATTTTTTTTAAATTTGGTTACTCATATTCTTCAACATAGATACAAAAGTCTATGACTACATACAATTATTATTCTTATTAATAAATAGCATGTAGAAAAGTTTTTGTGCCACTGGTCCACCAACAGGCATGCCTACAGGTGACCCACCTTCAGGAAAGAAGTTTAATGCTTTTGAGAGTCATCGTTCATACAAGCTTGACATCCATGATACCTACTTTACCAGTAATACAAGCAGATTAAACAATGTGACATATTTCAATGTGATGGCACAGCTGCTTGAAAAAGTGCATGCATGTTGTTACTCTACAATGAATATGCTTAACAAAAACACAAAAATTGTGTTTCTGAAAATTGTGCACGTAGGAGAAACTAGCTGTCCAATGGTCTCATCAAGGAAGAAAATACAATTACAGAGCTCCAGATAAGATTTAGCTCATGTGGGTACTGTACCCACTGTATTTTTTTGGAGTGGGTATTATGAATGTTGAGCGGGTATTTCATTTTCCATTACCCACTGCTTTCAAATATGTGCGTATTTCAGTCATTTTACTCACCTAAGTATTATGTGACTGAGTAAGTTTACTAAGCAGGTATGTTCTGCCTTATGTCATACCTAATCAAAACCAACTTAAATATAATGGAAATGATTTGATAAAAAATCACTCATCCTATACTGACAGAACAACATTTGTCCTATACTAACAGTACAACTTGATAGCAATCGATGTCTTTTTCATTACGCGAGCGATTTTCATAAATATATTCCGTACGCATTTGTTTTAAACTTTTTGCGTATCTAACATTTTAAATGCGTAATTGGTAAGGGTGATGGGGTAGCCTAGTGGTTAAAGTGTTTGCTCATCATGCTGAAGACCCGTGTTCGATTCCCCACACGGGTACGGTGTGAAGCGAATTTCTGGTGTGACCTGCCGTGTTATTGCTGGAATATTGCTAAAACTAATAAACTCACTCGCTCACTCATAGAAACCATAATGAAACTCAGATTGGTACCTCTTGAACACAGTGGGTTTGATCGGATTCATGGGGAAAATGCACATGAAGTTTCAGCTTCACTTTCCCAGACTTTTCTAAGAAAAAGATTTCAACGAAGCGTGACAGACAGCATACATGGATCCAATTTTACTGGGATTTATTTAAATTTGTAACCAATATGTCAGGTCAACAGGTACAGTTTGCAAAGGTTCTTAGTTTTTCACACAATTAGGTGAGTCAGTGAATGAGTTTTGATTTTACGCCGCTTTTAGCAATATTCCAGCAATATATCACGGTGCAAAAGTTCTTAGTTTTTCACACAATTAAGTGAGTGAGTGAATGAGTTTTGGTTTTACGCCGCTTTTAGCAATATTCCAGCAATATCACGGTGGGGGACACCAGAAAAGGGCTTCACATATTGTACCCATGTGGGGAATCAACCTCGGATATTCAGCGTGACAAGCAAACGCTTTAACCACTAAGCTACCCCACCGCCCCTTAAGAGGGAATAATGTGGGTTTTATGACCCTTTTAGCAATATTCCAGTGATATCACGGGGCACCAGATATGGGCTTCACACATTGTACCCATGTGGGGAATCAAACCCAGATCTTCAGATGCTTTAACCACTAGGCTACCCCAATGCCTCACACAAGTTATATTTTTTATTTTGAGACAAAGAATAGAATACAAATATGGAATATGTCTGGTTTTACTGCACAAGACATTTTAGTGAACTGATGTGTAATATGTAGTGATATATATTATACATGTGTATATATAGATTGAGGCAAGCTTGTTCTGATTTTGTGTTTCTATCCCTTTTACAAAATATGCTCAATTTCTCTTTACAGAAAGAGGGCCCCTGGTTGAGCTAGTTGCGCTATAATGTAACTAACCCTGCTGGATCTTGAATCTTCTTGCAGTGGTTAAGTTGCAGTGGCAACAAAAGACAGACTGACTGACTGAGTTTGGTTTTACGCCGCTTTTAGCGATATTCCAGCAATATCACGGCGGGGGACACCAGAGATGGGCTTCACTCATTGTACCCATGTGGGGATTCGAACCAGGGTCTTCGGGGCAACAACAGACTGACTGACTGAGTTTAGTTTTACGCCGCTTTTAGCAATATTCCAGCAATATCACGGCGGGGGACACCAGAAATGGGCTTAACAGGCAACAAAAGAAGCTAGATGATGTTGCTGGCACACATAAATGTTATATGTGACTACACATTAGCAAATGTCATATGCCTGAAGTGAGAGGACAAACCGACAACAATCTCATGTTATTAATCATTATGGTGACCATGTCAATTATCATCTCATTTGGGAGTGTCAGGCATCACCAATGACAGATTACTCGTGAATTTAGACATCACATTACAATACACACAAAAACAATAGCTCAATGCTTCAAAAGGTATCAAAGTCACAATTGCTGGTTACAGTGGAAGTTGTCTAAACCGGCACTCGTCGTGACTAAAGAAATAATCCGGTTTACACAGCATGCTGGATTGTACAGATGACACGGTTATTTCCAACTAGAAGTGAACCAGTTTTGTCACTCTCATATACATTGTTCTATCACAATAAAACATGTCAACTCACCAGTAACATGTACAAGTATACCCATGCTGAACTAAGATTAAAATGTCTTTGTCGGCAACCATGTAGTTTCAACGCAAGATTAATTGGTGACAATACACATCCAGCCGACTCCTCACCATGTGCCAGATTAGACAGCTCTGATTACAGTATAAACCCATATAAGGGGAGCTCATTTCATGCCAAGATCCGGAATTGACAGCTGCCGGATTGCAGAGCTTTAGTTTTAAATGATGACACATGCACTAGCCACAGACGGGACTGAGATTTTATGCTGGTGTTGACAACTTGCAGGATTGGACAACTGCCGGTTTTGACAGCTTCCACTGTAGTGAACAGTGGTATGTGACAGACACTCCTGACCTTATTTCTTCCATATGCCAACCATGTATTACATTTTGTATTTAAAACCTCACATTATCAACAATTTTCATATGTGCGTGCTTGCGTGTGTTTCGGGAGGAGTTGATGGGTGAGTGTTTTTATACGCGGCGTTTATCGATATTCCAGCCATATCACAGTGGTGTACACCAGAAATGCGTTTCACACATTGTGTCCATGTGGGGAATCGAACACAGGTCTTCGACGTGACAAGATAACACTTTAACCATTAGGCTACCCCATTGTCCCCTGTTGGGGAAGGTTAAGAACAATGCATTGTTAACTCACATTTCTGAGCATCATCAAATATCCATTATCACAATCAAATCTAAATTAAAAACTTAGATAGTTTTTCACAGAAAAAATTATTCATGTCACAGCAAAGAGATACAACGAATGAGTTTCATACATTGTACCCATGAGGGAATCAAACCTGGGCCTTTGGCATGAGCGAATAAGGGTGGTTTTAAGGCGCTTTTAGCAATATTCCAGTAATATGACTGCAAGTGACACTTATAAGAAATGGGGTTCACACATTGTACCCATGTGGGGACTAAACCCATGCCTTAACCACTAGACTACAACAAATTGAATTTTTTTATCTGAGACAAATACTGGTATGTCTATGTCTGGTTATATTTGACCTCACATATTAGTGAATGCAGGGATGTACCTTGAGTCCTGTATTTGAGGGTCCCTGGGACTCGTACTCTTAATTTTCAGGAGTTCTGGACAACAAAATGGGGGTCCCATACACTTAAATATTATTATTAATACTGCTATTGTATTGTGTATCATGATCACCACATTAATGGTTACAGTTATTAAATTGCAAATGATACCATAACCCAGCCAGTAGCAAACTCAGTGATAACCTATTGATAATTGATTTGAATTTGTACAAAAAGTATTTGGACTTTTTCTGCGTCCCTGTGGATGTGCAAATACATTTCGTTGCATCTGTTGTCAATTTTTATGTGTATAGGATGCAGGACTTATGCAGTTATACAGATCACATATGTAGATTCAGGTAAGCTTGCTCTGATTTTGGCTTGTACTTGTTTTTGACACTTTAACCACTTGGCTTGCCTACCGTCCCAAGTCAAGATAGAGGAAATCCTGCAACATGTCGTCTAGAATCTGGCTCATCATTTTCAACAGGACAGAGCAGGTGCACTCACCACAGCCAACGGATCTGACAATTATCCAATCGAAATCCATCATGACATCATGCACTGGCCTCTGATAAACAGGATACCCTTTCCAAGAACGTATTCTATTTTCAGCTTTTCTACAATATTGTCAACGGAACTGACATTTATCCAATCGAAATCCATCATGACATCATGCACTGGCCTTAGACTAACAACTAGTCTCTGAAATGAACATATTTTACTAAAAAAAGTTCATAGTAAAAATAAAATATAATATGAAAAGGAGCCCTGAGACTTTCTTCTGCTGAGGAAATCTAGACTTGCCACATTTTCTAGACTTGTGTGGGCTTTCTTGGATATATTTGCTTCAGGGTCTGTACTAGAGACTACACTGGCCTCTGATAAACAGGATACCCTTTCCAAGAACGTATTCTATTTTCAGCTTTTCTACAATATTGTCCCGTTTCTACAAAAACAGGACATTGAATAACTTAAAGGTCACATGCAACCAAAAAATCAAACATAATTAAAACACAATTATCACTTATTCATGACATATAATATACATTGCTGGTTATGAAAAAACATATAAACAAAATTATAAGCGTACAACCGCAAATCAAAAGTGCAATATTGTGTGCTTGGGTTTACTTCCCAAGAAATGAAGCAGCCGGGATACCGAACCCAGTCAGAGCGGGTGGGTGTGCACTCAAGTGTAACGGCTGGTTCATTTGCAGATGCCCTCACGGTTCATTGTTAGTGTATATATAGAGATGTTGGGTTTTGTAGTTACATGCTCATTTTTTGTGTATAACATTTTGCAATCAACAGACATCATAACATGTCATGTGTACAAGTATCACACCTGCCTGTCTGTGTAATTACATAATGTGACAGAGACCGAACTGGGGCCATAAATCAATGCGTTTTGTTTATGGTGTATAGCCTGATTGGTGTTAAGTTCAAATTGCATGTGGTCAGTGATCGCAGTTGTGTATTGAATATTGTCATTAGCAGACAGGCAGACAGGCAGGCAGACACACAGGTGTCAATAAAACAAGACATTGAGTTTTGTCTTTGACAACGACATATCTATATCACAGTTAGAAATTCTGTAAATAATAATGACATTGCTTTTAAGTATCGAACTGAGAAAGTGACTCGGTAAGAAGAACGTGTGGTGAAATAGACAAATGAAATTATATAAACAGTTTATTTACTGTCATAACATATAAAAAGCTCACGCCTGTGAGATATCAACAAAACATTAGGCAAATAGCTCACACCAAAGCCTTCACCGAGTATTCACCGGACAGCCCGCTTCCAAGTTGCGCGAACCTATTTCACTGCGCACGTGCAATGAGCGCAGCCCAGCTGTTGAAATCAGTTTTCCCCCGAAAAGTCGGGGGAAAATTAGTGAATCGTTTGAACTCCGATTTTGGGCGTTTTTTTGTCATCGCGTTATTTTTCAACTTTATAAGTTGAATTTGCATTTTTGATGATTTGTTTCGGTAAGTCCATACCGAAAGGTATCAGAATCTGCAAAGTTGTGTTTTAAATATATCACCTATAGCATGTACACTGATGTTATCATGTAAACCTGTGGTTTAAATATCTTGTAATAGGAATAAACATGTATTTAGTGAGCCATTACAAGTTAAATACATATTATCCTACCTCATGTAAGAATGTCCATCTCTGATTGGTTCACCTGACCTTGAACAAATTACCATGTATGCCCGGTGCACACCCAAACACAACCCAAGTGGGTTATAAATCTTTGTGAGGGAGAATAAATCATTATGCCCCACCCAATGGAAAAAGCTTGCA